CAATTCCCCACCTGCATCTGACTCCTCTTACCAATCTTTCAGCTCTCAGCCTAAGCTCTCCTCTGGAAGCTTTTTCCTATAGCCCTGTGTCTTCTTAGGTGCTTCCGCAGCACCCATACTTGCCCATTGTAGCAGTTATCAGGTATAATATATTACATCTGTACTTCCCACTAGAAGACCAGCTTTACAATGACATCTCTCTCTTCTTCACCACAGTATCCCCAACACCTGTCTCAGCACCTGGCACATAACAGAGCTCAATTACTACTGATTGAAATAAAATACATGACTCCACTGTTATATGCAATACTGATGTTGTACCGCTGGAGATGAGTCTCTCTCACTCCCTCATTTTGGCAGATGAACCAGGAATAACAGAGTCAAAAGGAAGAGATAGGCCAGGCGCGGTGGCTCACGCCTATAATCCCAGCACTTTGGGAGGCTGAGGCAGGTGGATCACGAGGTCAAGAGATCGAGACCACCCTGGTCAACAAGGTGAAACCTCGTCTCTACTAAAAATACAAAAATTAGCTGGGCATGATGGTGCGTGCCTGTAGTCCCTGCTACTCGGGAGGCTGAGGCAGAAGAATTGCTTGAACCCAGGAGGCGGAGGTTGCGGTGAGCCGAGATTGAGCCATTGCACTCCAGTCTGGGCAACAACAGCGAAACTCCGTCTCAAAAAAAAAAAAGGAAGGATATATGTATCTATGCTGTTCTTAGCACAAACACTCATAGAAAGCAACTCAAGCAATCTAAAGCAAACATAAGGTCTTAAGTTTTCTAAAATTTTAAAACTTCAGTGCTGAAAAAGCTTAGGCTCACTTATAACTAAGGAAACTGAGGTTCACAATTTATCAAATAGCAGATAACTATTTAGTGATATAGCTGCTTCCCTCTACAAGCTTCCCACATGAGTATCCAAAAGGTCATATGATTTCAGCAAAAAAGTAATTGCACTGAGTATCAGAGTTAATTAACTATTAATCAATTTAATGCAAAGAGGGTTTAGAATTTCAAAAACACTTTTTTTCTTTTTCCCCATAACTACCTCCTTTAAAAAACTAGAGAAAAAGAGTGTGAGCTAACATCTTAATGACAAGTTCACATTTGTACTCATAAGTCAGGATTTTAGATTTTAGTTTCAATTAAAAACAATAAAATTTTTCCATGTAGCAAAAACAAAAGATTCTTGATCCCTTGTCATTTCAAAATGTCCTATATATTACAAGAGAGTTTTAATGTGAAATTTTCTTCAGTGGTCATATATGGACTCTTTTTATAATGAGGAATATATTAGTTACTTTAAAAATACTCTCTAATGGATATTAAGCTGTAAAGGAAAATGGTTTACGGGGTATTATCATGAGTATAAAACAGGCTACAGAATGGTATGTGCAGTACTGCTTCCACTGGTTTAAAAACGCATTGGGAGACAAACAGGAAATATCAAAATACTAATACTGGTTGAATTAGATTAAGTGACAAAGTGATTTGTTAAGGTCATATGGCCAATGAGAAGTAGAACTGGAATGTATTACAGTTCATTCTTTTCTATCCCGCCTTATATAAAAAAGTACCAACTGTTTGAATGCAAGGACTTTTTTGCTTACTGTGGTGGTAGATACCACGAAATGTATGCATGGATCTTTTTTTTGGTCCATGCTATTGTTACTGTTAGTGTATTTTATGTGTGGCCCAAGACAATTCTCCCAATGTGTCTCCTAGAAGCCAGAGGGTTGGATACCTATGGAAACTGTTAAACTCTCAGAGGGTCAGAACTATCACTGCTACTGATAATGGCAGCCCACCAGCAAAGAATCAGGGAACTCGTATATGTAGCTGAAATATCAATAAAAATAAGTTAGAATTGATTTACATTTTTAAACTGTTACATTAAAAAAAAAAAAAAAAAACAATGGAAAATGTTCCGTTAATCCAGTGTAATAGGTATTTGAGTAACATTGACTGTGCTCACAAGGAATTGTGATGGGCCCAAATAGGTGCTCATTCACATAGACCTTAGCATTTCAGAGGGGAAAGAGGTATGCATCTAGATTCCTACAACTAAGGCAGGTGTGAGAAGTGCCCAGGGATCTCTCAACAACGTGTTATGGGAACATCCATGAGAAAAACACTTTATTCCTTTTCCTATAGGAAAACCTCTCGGAAAAAGGGGCTTTTATCTTTTTTCTACCACATGCTATGGGTGGAGACAACTGGCTGTGTATGTGGCATATCCTGAAAAATAGTCACTCTGGAACCAGAAGACCTGACCTGTCTCCTGTAAGACATATAATCTCATATAATCACTTTCAAAGGCTACCAACCAGAGAACATTTGCGGTAGTGAGCACTACCCTGGAAACTTCCAGTGAAGCTTAGGGAAGGGTGGTAGGGAACGTTCTTTTCAGAAAAACAATTCGGAAAGTCTGTAACTCAGAATGAGAGCCCAGGAGCTTCAGATTTTCAGCTTTGCAAATATGCTCTACGAGACACAGCTGTCATAAGGAAAAATAACCTAGTACAAAAGAAGAAGTAACAATAGATGTCGCTATAACTTCATTAATTCAACGTAAGAATGACTTTGCTACCTACATTTCAACACGTTTTTGCCAAAGTATGTATCTGTAAAAATTGAATGCTGTTTTTGTGCTAGTGAGAATTTAGCACTTACCTGGTATTTCAAATAAAATCTTACACAGCTTTTATTATTATAATCAAAAACATCAAACTAAACTAAGAAAAATTTACAGCTCTTTTAAAACATAAAGTGCTAGATTTCACTGATAAGCTATATGGAGAAGAAACAAACCAGAAGGTAAAAGGGAAAAAATTACTTATAAAAATCATGAATCTACACTGCATAACAATTTAGAGCTGAGAAGTTCACAGTAAAGAAAATACTAGAAAGCTCAATCATGTGCTTGTAAAATTAAGAAAGAAACTAGAAATTTTAATAAAAACTAGATAAACATGTTTTATTTCAAAAGAGAGGAAAAAAATAGCTGGGCTACAGTTAAATTTAACATACAAACTGAAAACAACACCATCTATTTAGGTAAAAGAAAGTTATGATCAAATTGCTAAAGTTGAAAAAACAACTTTCACAAAATAATTTCGAGTTCCTGCTGGTTTCTCTCTCATACGTCACTCCCCGGTACATTACCCTTTTTTAAAAAATTACTATTAGCACAACAATTACAAAGAACCTAAGAATTTCACTTCATTTCCCACAGCTCAAAACCGAGAAAAAGAGTTTTTTCACAGAAGGTCTGATAATCCCTACATCTACTTGAAAGCCTATATCGTTCCACTTCAATGAAAAACAATCTTTTCTCTAGTTAATAAAGAATATCACAACAAGGGAAATTAAGCACTCATAGAAATGGGATCCTGGCATAAACCTCAATATTCGTTACATGTTTACAAAATCACCACTTCTAAAAAATAAAATAAAATAAAAAAACAAAACCCACACAGCTAGACTATTCCCATTTAATTTTATTATGAAAATGAGCAGCAGGGTATTTGATAAGCTCAATTAGCAGGAGGATCAAATGAAGTGATGACATGCCACTATGACCTCAGGGGTTAAAGATTCAATTTTCCATCTGGCAAAATCTAGGTTTCCAACACAAATGCTGACACCACCTGCTGTATGTTATTAGGCGTTATCTTGAGCAATTCCTAAGCATTTTCCCTACAACAGGTATAGCCTCAAGTTTTTCGTATTTCATTCTGCAATGTAATTGCTTCCTCATGAACAGAAATAAAAAATAAATCCCATATAATGGCTCATTCAAAACAGACATTAAAATCCATACTAAAGCATTTATCAATTATAGCAGTAGCAAAAATATCAAGATTCTTTTTCTAAGTCACAATTGACACTGTAGCTATCATTTTCTATAGCACCTAGGAATCATTCCAATTAAGAGTTCCCTTTACAGGTTTTGTTTTGTTTGTTTTAATACAGACAAGGTCTAACTATGTTGCCCAGGCTGGACTTAACCTCCTGAACTCAAGCAATCCTCCCGCCTTGGCCTCCCAAGTGCTGGGATTACAGGTATAAGCCACCATGCCCGCCCATTTATAGGTTCTTAATAGTCTCTTGCTACTGAAATGGAATTTTGCCACGTCTAATGTGCTGGAGCCCATCTGTGAGTGTTTGGACCCTTCCATGCATGCATTATCAAGAATCATGCTATTAGGCTCTGCAGGTGGTAATCCAGTGGCTAGCCAATGAATGCAGAGATCTTATCTGGATTCGTTTGATGCGGTTTGTGTAATAAAATGTTTGCACACACAAACATGAATGCACATACATCTACACACACTCTACACACACTCACACTCTACTGTAAGTGAGCTACAGATATAAGTTCAGATACTCAGTCTTGACAATTCATACTAGACAGTCAACAGCAAGGCAATAAATATCACAATTCTTTTAATACCTCTTTTCCAGGATATAACAATACCAACTTTTTCTAATAAAACTAACTTTTCACCATCTGTACCTCCTTCCCTAAGCAAATTTACCAAACTCCCCATGTTAATCCAATTACTTTTTAGTGCTTGGTAGATCTATGGGTTTCTTTCTCATTAAAACTTATTCCTGGCTGGGCACGGTGACTCACGCCTGTAATCCCAGCATTTTGGGAGGCCAGGGTGGGCAGATCCCCTAAGGTCAGGAGTTTGAAACCAGCCTGGCCAACGTGATGAAACCCCGTCTCTACTAAAAATACAAAAATTAGCCAGTTGTGGTGGCACGCATCTGTAATCCTAGCTACTCAGGAGGCTGAGACACAAGAATTGCTTGAACCCAGGAGGCAGAGATTGCAGTGAGCTGAAATAACACCATTACACTCTAGCCCAGTCAACAAGAGTGAAACTCCATCTCAGAGTTTTTCCTCGAGTTATTTCATTTTATTCCTCCTGGGTAAATAGGTATTTCAGCAATGTGAATATCTAAAAATTCTTACGTAACTCAAAACTTACTTGACTTTTTGAATCCACACACAGTAGTCGGAGATGTAGAGATCATTCAGTATGTATGCTGGGTCGTTTTCCTGAAAAATTTTGTAAATATCGAGGAGACACTTTAAAACTGCACTTTTACCTGAAGAAAATTGAAAAAAAACATAAAATCATCCTTAAGAAAAAGAAATTCAGATTCTGAAAGGTAATATATTTAAAGCAGCTCAGGGTCTTGATCATTTCTTAAGAATATTTTTAAATGCAAAAAACTTTATCAGTCCTACTGATTTCCTTAAGAATTACATATAATCTTTATATTCTACTGTTACAGCTGATTAGTTGTAGTTATCATTAAAATGCTATGAAATACAACTAGGTCAATTAAATGAAAGGCAGGAAAGTTTTCTAAACCAAATGAATACTTAAATGCATCATAATTTTAACTGGATAATGTTATTCTAATTTAAGCTTTCAAAATAAAATGGAAAACTGTATTCTAAATTTTAAACTTTTCTGTTTCTTATGTCAACATTTTCCGTCAATGAATTATCTACTAGTAACAAATTATTTTACCTTGAACAATTGAAGAAAACTTAGATTGAACACTAAAATATCATAGCACTACTTCAGAAATAAGCTGACAAAACTCAGATGAACAAAAGCCATCAAGTATTAAAGTCTTGTTCAACCTAACTCCTTCCTCTTAAATGTACCTAATTTTAACCCAACAAAAGTCTACAAAAGGAGCCTCTTACAACTCAACAACAATTCCCTAGATGTTCCAAACTTCATGATATTCCCTGAAATTTATTAATTATAAGGCAAACTACTAACACTACATCTAGGGTAGTACCACTTTCTTTGATCTATGAAATTCAGCATTTTCAGTTTAACAGTTTTATTCTTATCTTTACTTTTCTGAAACACAAAAATACCGTATACTAAGTTCATGAAGATACTGGATGCGCTTTCATCAACATTTCCCATTTAACTTTTAGATCGTAAGAGAATCATGAGCTAGATGATATCCCAAGATCCTAAAATCACTGACACTAAATTTTCTAACATAATTAACACTAGAAAGTAAGCTTCAAAAGAGCAGGGGCTTCTGTTTTATTTAGTGGTTAATCCCCAATACCTAGAACAGAAAACTGCAGCAGCAAGTTTTCCATTTAAGTATTCTCAATGAATGAATAAATGAAAGACACAGTAATCACCCAGCTTAAACTCTTAAAATTTCTTTCATTCTACAGTCTCACCCATCAAATCCTGGTGATTTCTTTTTGGAAATGCTCCTTGTATCTGCCCTTTCTCTGCCATTGCCTGAGCTCCTATGTTCACTCATATTCTCATCTCATGCCTAGATTTTAAGAATCTTCTTCCCCATCTTTCAGATTGCAGTCTCTCTCCCCTCTAACACACACTTTTTAATGCATTGCTTTCATGAAGTCTCTTCCCTGCATATGCTTTCAGTGCTCTCTCTACGGACTTGTCCCCATGCCTTTTTCCCTTCTCCATATGACCTCGCTCGCTGTCAAGATCTAGCTCCAGTCTTCATTCATTCAGGAAGCTCGGGGCTTCCCTAGCCTTCACAGTCCTTTACTAAATGCTTCAAAGAAGTAGAAAGGAAACTCAGCCGATCCTCCCCATAGTCTTTCCCGTTCAATTCCAAGAAGGAAAACCAGAGGCTCCAGTATGGGTAGGATACAGGGCCACCAAGCTGAGGAATCAGGGTCCAAATTCCAATCTTAATGGCTCCAGACAGAGGCTACCCACTGTGTCATACTACCTGTATGTTCTTGGCCCATTCAGTCTACATCACAATGTTTTTATTACTCAAGGACTTATTAATGACTTTAACCCCTAAGTAGGTAATGTCATTGAAAACAGGGTCCATGCCTTTCTAAAAAATATTAACTTGGTGGCTTCCTCATATGCAGATAGAATGAAGAGTGAAAGAAGAATTTCAGTGGAAGCTCCACTGCTAGACTGACAGTGAAGATTAATTAACACTTAGAAGGCCTAAAGCTAAAAGACATCAAGTTCGTTTGGTTAAGTCAAGGTCAGTGCTATGACTTATCAAAGTGGCCCAGGTTAACTATGTCAAATTATTAGTGTGGATCACCCCACCACAAGCCTGTTTTAATTACAAACTAGGTAACGTTGAAAGCAGAGTTTGATGGGAGGAGGAGGAAATATAATCAAAATTTACAGGCGTGATGAAACCATGTTTGCCACATTAGCCATGTTACCCAAAGAATCAAGGAACAACTGACCTGTAAGAAGGTTTTGAAGTTTTAATTGCCACAGAGAAGACAACTGTCACAGTAAGCATATGACAACCGATTTCTTTCTTGCTTTCTTTCTCTCTCTCTCTTTTTAGGGGAAGGAGGGTACAGAGAGGAGGAGTTAGTTTTGTAAGAGTTTTAAACGTCAATCATAAGTCTTTACTGGAAAAACCAACTATTATCTTAGAACTTGAATAAGCTTCTCTGCTGTGTGACACCTCCAGATTACTATCTCTCAAGATCCCGCACTTTACTAATATAAACAGGTTAACAGAAAATGCAGGATTTGGAAAAAAACATTTGGCTGGAGCAGAGAGTTCATGGAGGATAAAATGCAGAGCAAGCAGTTAAGTTTGGTAGAAGTCAGATGGTAACAAGGAGGAAGAGAAGAATGCATTCAGACAGACTGAGTGAGAAGGTCTCTAAACTTAAGTGTGGGCAGTAGGAATAAAGGACTCTACTCCAGAGATCATAATGAGAAAGGTATGGAGTTAAGGTCACATATTTAATGAGGATCCATAGCAGCCATTACCTAATAAAATTACATACAGCTTCCCTTAACAGACATGCCTAAAGTGAGGCTAAAGGCACAGGCAAATTTAGATCTTCCAGCTATCACAAAATAGTAATAATAATAATGAAAAGAAATATCAAATAACAGGCTGGGCACGGTGGCTCATGCCCTGTAATTCCAGCACTCTGGGAGGCCAAGGCAGGCAGATCACCTAAGGTCAGGAGTTTGAGAACAAAACTGGTATACATGGTGAAACCCCATCTCTACAAAAATACAAATATTAGCCAGGCATGGTGGCTGGCGCCTGTAATCCCAGCTACATGGGAGGCTGAGGCAGGAGAACTGCTTGAACCCAGAAGATGGAGGTTGCAATGAGCAGAGTTCACACCACTGCCCTCTAGCCTGAGCTACGGAGTGAGACTGTCTCAAAAACAAACAAAATGTCAAATAATGAAAACTAAGAAATGTCAAAATATTTTAAAGAGAAGAAATTACATTGTATTTGTATGTTCTGATCCCCATTAAAAAAAAAAAAAAAAAAAAAAGACAAATACTCATTTAAAAAATCCTGGGCCAGGTGTGGTGGCTCACACTTGTAATCCCAGCACTTTGGGAGGCCAAGGCAGGTGGATCATGTGAAGTCAGGAGTTCAAAACCATCCTGGCCAACATGGTGAAACCCCATCTCTACAAAAATATAAAAATTAGCCGGGCATGATGGCAGGTGCCTATAGTCCCAGCTACTCAGGAGGCTGAGGCAAGAGAATTGCTTGAACCCAGGAGGTGGAGGTTGTAGTGAGCCAGGATCACACATCGCACTCCAGCCTAGGCAACAGAGCAAGACTCCATGTCAAAAGATAAATAAATACTGTCCACAGGAAACATTCATTATTTAACAATAATTAAGACATTCTCAACTACACAGCCAACCCCTGAAATACTGACAAATGAAGGTCACAAATTTTAATTCACATTTTAAATTATATTTTTTAACCGAGAAGCAGGATTTAGATTAATATTTAAAATTTTTATGCAAGGCAGTTTTGAAAGGGACAGTTAGTTATATGTTCTCTTCACAAGCTGTGCTTTAACTGTAAGCCTTAAACTATTTTCATAGTACATGATGTAACAAATATGGTCAAAGATAACCAGGCTACTGGCAGTTGACAATATAGAATAAAAAGTACATGCAAACCATTCTCCCCCCAACAATATGTATTGTTACTCTGAGGTCACACTTGATCTCTTTTGTTCCAACTATGTCACCGTAGATGACTGCAGCATCACAGCCAGGAGACTCACCAAGCATGTGGCTGGGCTTTTTTTCAGTCTCTTTTGTACTGACTGCTCTTTCTATCAGACCCTCAGCCACTTATCGAGCAGCTATGAGCAAAGGAAAAATCTGGCCCTCTTCCAGGCTGTCACATGGCCAGTGGCCAGAAGCCTATGGGGACTCAAAGTACACAGTTCCTGTGGGGCTCTATCCAGTCGTGGGCTCATCACATATGATGGGCATAAAAAAAACTGCTAAGGCCTAAGTCCAAGAGAATCATTTCTGCTCAAAGGCACTGCAGGGAAGTGACCATTTTTAGGCAGTTCACTGCCTGGTTCAAAGCAGAAAAAAAGACGGTGCTTTGCACAGTAACCACGGTAACTATTTTCACTGCAGAGAGGCACTAACAACTCTCTCCAGGATGTTAAATCCCAAGAGTTAGGGATTCTCTAGGATGGACTTGGTTGAATACACCAACCCTATCCTTGGAAAAATGACTCTAAGACCAAGAACTCTTGTTCACTCATGAAAGTAGTGGCATCCTGGTATCATAAATGACAAGAGCCATGAATGTTTTACTTCAGGGAAAGACTAATGATAACACAGAGAAACATAATGACAAGATAAAGAAAATACGGATGACAGTAATAAGTAGGTGGGCAGTAAATAGGATTTAACATATTCCCTGGCTTTCCTTTAAAGGGAAGGTAAACTAAGAACAAGGTGATTTCTTGTCTGGACAGAAGTGGCATCTCAGGTTAATACATCTTAATACAAAGACAAGATTGAGCTGTTCTAAACAGAATCCCTTGGCTTCCTGAAATCCTCCTATTAGGAGATCAGGGTTGCAAATAATCTTTCACTGACAGAACAGCTCATGGCTACAGGCACATAAGAAAGGGCTTCCATCTCTAGGAGATGATCAGGGTAGTGGATGTTTCTGCAATATAAGTTGCTAACTACATAGTAAGAGCTAAATTTCTTTTCAGCTGTTGGTACATTATTGCTCTGTGGCTGTGGTTTTCTGGGTATCTATTCTGCCCTTTAAAGTTTTGAGTTACCCAAGAC